AAGTCACAGAAAAAAGAAGGGTACTATTAGAAAATATGTTTTAAGCTAGCAGCATGTTTAGATCACAGAAATAGGTTTAAAACTTAGCCTTTTGTGTAAGCCAAATAAGCTATTGGGCACATTCTCAAATGTGCATGAAGGGGAGGAAAAAAAAAAGAATATGCTCAATTTAATTCCTTAAAGCATACACACCAACTGAGATAAGCATGCTCACACGCAACTTTACGTGTCATAAATAGTCATCCACAATTGAGTCCTCCAATGAAAAGCATTCTAGAAGTGCAAAGCTTTGTCTGAATTGAGTCTGCAGTGTACTGCAGAATGACATGACAGGAGTTATTTTGAATTTATCAAGTATAAGCGTTTTTTAAATCCCCTATATGCATATACATGATAAACTAATCTATTGTGTCATCTCCTAATCTCTTCTTTTTTTCTCTCTCTTTTGATCATATCATGTTAAGGTTCTAAGTTAAATCCACAAGGAAAGTATTCAGCATTATGCAATAACTTTGTTGTAACTCATTTGATGACATCTGGCAAACAGAACATATTCTGCCTCTTTGGTACACAAACACAAACATTGCATCTATGAAAGGATATACATTTTTTTACAATGTAGATATGTTATTACATTATGGGTTTTACAGTTATGCTATTAAACATATATTAGATTTATTAAACCACAAGTAGGAGAGCTTTATTGAAGCTGGTGAAATACATTTCTGCAGGAGTCACTGATGTACATTTAAGAAACTAGATTTATAGTTAAATACTTAAGTGACAGAGATCATCCCAGATGAAGTCAGGAAACAGTTTATTTACACTGCAAAGACATAAAACTTACTGATGAATGAACCTTATATGCTTTAGGTTCAACCCCCGAAAGTCTGGACTGTTACCTGAATCTGCATCTGTAAAACTAAACTGTAAATCTCGTAATAGAAGATTTTGTGAGTTTCCATTTCTGATGTCAGAGCAGTAATATGTGAATTATTCTGAGGTATCTCAGCACTTCTGGGATCAGGAAGTTATGTGAAAAATAAATTACATAAGAAAATAAAAGAAATTTAAAAACAAATGGTTTGGGGGAAAGCAAACAAAAATTTTGTAAACCTTCCACAAGGACTGGGGTTCTGATTTGGGCTAAAATTTTACACAACAGTCAGAAAACCTTGCTATCACACTCAAAACAAATGATAGGGCACAAGACACCTGTTCTAATTTACCTTAAATTTTAACCAAAGTTACAGTAATTAATGCAGTATTAACTGTTCCAAAACAAAAAACAAAAAATTGTGAAAAATTGTTGCAAATATTGTTCTTTTAGACTTCAGTCACCACAAAATAGAAAAAAATGTGAACTGGTTCATTTCAATATCCCAGTGTGCCATAATTTACTGCTAAAATAACTGTACTGCACATAATGGAAGCTTCACTACATATTCAAGGCCCACAACTTATGCCCCTCCTTTTCTCCTTGCCCATCTTACTCTCTCACTTTATACCAGTGGTTCTTAAACTTGCAGGACTCAAGGCTCCCCTTGAAAAATGTCAGCTCTTAGCTTTAACTTGTTTTTTGACTGCAGAAAAATACGAGAGCAATTCTTCTGTTGCAAAGACCTCAAAAAGACCACAGCAAGTCAAAATGTTTTTAACACTATGAACTCCTATTTGAAAGCTTTAGCCACATCCACACGGGCGTGGCCATTTTTTTCCCTGGGGACAAGCAGCAGCAGCACACCTTGTGCCACTGCTACTTGTCCCTGGGGAACACCTGTGCCATGTGCCCTCTGGCACACGGCACGTTACCCTGGGTGGGGTAGAGGAGGCTGAGGTGAGCAACTGTGCTGGTCCCAGCAGCCTTACCTGGGGTCTTGGGAAGCTGCAGTTGCACCAATCCTTCTGCTCGGAGCCTGGCTGGCAGCTGGAACATCAGTCTAACCAGCCAGGCTCAGGTTTTGGGCGGTGCACACTGCCCCTACATGCACCACCCCACCTCTTTTCATGTGAGGTTTTTTGACCCGGGGATCTCTCAGGGTCAACCCCCCACCCCCCGCTGCTACCCTGTAGTGCAGAGAACACCTGAATGTGGAGACGTGGTTTTTGCATTCATCCTGTGAATCATATTTGTACTCCTAACAGTGCTAACATTGCATGGGACCACTAAGCCCACGGCTGTAGAGTGACTTAACAGTGCCCTTCCTTAGCTGCCTTTCCTGTACAAACTCATTTGGTTGCTGTTAGGGCCTTGAACACTTATGACAATAAAATATAAGATGTTCAGGTAGCATCCAATCACACCAGCAGTTTAGAATATGTGGCAGATTTTTGAACACCGATGCACTGCATGGGGATGTTTCAGATTTTGGAACAATATTTCTTACTAGCCTACTAAACCATTATTTATTTTTACCCTTCACCTCCAAATATCAGCCTTTATTTTGTGTTTGTAGAAAGCCCTGTGGCTGGCAGCTGGTATAGTAAAAGTCCATATTTCAATTCCTCTATCAGTCATAGATCAGAATTGTAATTAAAACAATTCCCTGGCTCTTTTATGAATCAGTTTTAGATCAAGGGAATATTTAAAGAATAATCAGCTTCACACATATCTATCATCTACAAGGAAAACTCCAAGTTAATCTCTGACTGTACTCTGCTAAAAATACAAAACAGACACATCCTTGGTATTGTCCAGATGTGCACAAGCAAGAGGAATCTGGACTTTCAGAAAATGTTGTATTTATAAGAGATTTCCTCTGGCAGTGCAACATTTAAACTAAATTTGACCTTTCAATATTTGGGCTCATGAGTCACATTTGACCTGCTGTTAAATCTTCCGGGCTCCTTCTGCCTACAGATACTGGAAAAATTAGCAACACATCTAACGCTGTTTATCAGTATTTTATACATTTTTTAAAATCTTACTGCATCAGAATTTTCAAATAAACACATTACAAGCAATACCACATTTCCTGTGAGATGGCTGCCACCTTGCAGTAGCTACAGGGTGTTGACTCTTTATGCTGGGGAAGTCCACACAACAGATTGTGTCAAGTCAACACAGTAGCTCATTCTGGACCCTTGAGAAATGTCTGCATATCCTATCTATAATTACTAGTAGTAACAGCATACTATCGTTGAATAAGCAGATAACCAAAATGGAGAGTGACTGAAGGTCTCAATCGCTCATACAGCCTGCCTGGAGAAATTACAATGCTACTAGCAAATGACAATCGAAATAAACATATAATTCAATAAAAGCTAACTACTGTATTTTATCAGCTGTTTCAACTAAGAAGGTAGGGAAATAACTACATTTTAAAGGTAATAATTCACACCTTTCCTTTTTTAGACATACTTTGTATTTTATAAATTACTAGGAAATTTAATATGATAAAGAGGTGGACACCTCTTTTTCAGGAAGCACTTGCTTACACTACAGAGATCCTACCTCTGCAGCTATACCAGAAACTGTATCAGAACTACCTAGTAGAGTTGCAGCATACATCAACAAAAGGAGAATTTCTGCTGGCATACCTAGCCCACTCCCACAATGATACAATTTAAGACAACAAAAGTCAAAGCAGCTGCCTCAGCACCAGGGGTTTTGCTAACCTTGCTGTGTTAGTTGGGAGGGAGAGAGAGGAAGGAGTGATTTTTTCACACCCTTAACCAATGTGGCTATATGGGTAAACTTTGAATTGTATATCTGACCTAAAGAAATGAAAAAAGTTCATGGGAAACCATCATAATTTTGGTCAGAAATCTTCTGAAAAGCATCTTTCAAAAGTTTGCAGTCAAATAATTAATAATACTAATTATAGTAAAACTATAATCATAAAGATACTATTTTAATTTTCACAACTATTAAAAATATTCTGTATTTGAAAAGTTCCTTAAAAGTTCACCAGACACCCAAGTCTTCCACAGTACATTTGTTTTAATTGTCAGCAGAAACTGTGTAAGACATAAGAGCCACAGGCTGACTTGCTAAAGTTCCCATTTAAGAGACAAGCTGTGGCAGGCCAGTATGGGGTGCTCTAGTGCCCCCTCACTGCACCCAACCAAAAGCAAGCTTCAGGTGCCTCCACAGAGGTGCCAACTTCTGACCAACCCCCTGCCTGGAGCACACCCACAAGCCTGGGGTTACCACTGCCACCACCCAAGCTCTAGTCTCTGTTAGGGCCTTGTTCCACTTGTGGTACACAGGCCCTATAGATCTCAATCACTATGGGGTTGGTTAGCCCCACCAGGATATATCTGGGTGCTTCTTATAGCCTGAAGCATAGAAAGTAGCCTTCCTTAGTCAGTCAAGCAAAGGGGAAAAAAAGGCTTGCCCAATCCCTCTCAAACATTCACTGCCAGGCTTGCTATGATAGGTAGCTTTATTGATTGGAGAGGGAAGACATAGGGAAGGAATACAAACCAAAAAGATTTTGAAAGAAATTTTGAAAGAAAACAGCCTTGAACAAAACAATATAAAGGGCTCATTGGCCCTTTTAGTATATGTCTAGCACACTTAGATTTAAGCTACTGGCTACAATGCAGATAAGTTACTCACAGCAACACCCAGAGGATTCTGGAGGTACATGGCTTGATTCTGTGTCCATAAGATGTCCGTCCACTACACAACATGGAGGGACCCTCTTAAATAGCCTTACTGACCTCATCACCTGGGCCCAGTCAGGGACAAGTGTTATTGATGCTGACCAATCAATTTGAAAAACATCAGCATTACCTATTGCAGGGACATTGGCTTAAGCCTAGTGCCCACAGCATGTGGTCAGAACTCAGAACAATGGTGAAGCTAGACCCACCCCCTCCTATCTGAGCCAGGTCACATACGCAGCAACCTGGTTGCCTACGCAACCAGTTTGACAGATATGTGAAAAGACAAAGAAAGAGAAAGAAGAAAAGAAAACAAACAAACAAACAAAGTGAGGGAGCAGAGCCACAGGCCCTGGAAGTTTTTTTTTTTTTTGTCACACAGGCCTTACCTTGCACTGCCCAGACACACAGATTGAAGTTCCATTTTGATCACACGGTGTGCCATCAATCACTTTCTCAGCTTGTCTTACATAGAATCGGTAGCCTATTGCTCGACAATTCAGTTCACATTTCTGACTTCCCTTCACTGAAAAGAGATTAAGGTATAAATTCTTGTTACAAGTTCTACAAACTACAAATAGTTTTTAAAAAGACTTCATTATATTAGTTGGAAGACTTTATCCCTGATTTGGAGATAAAAAAAGTAAGAAGGGACATTCTCTATAAAACTCATATCTTTCAAATACATTTTGATAAGGAAAACATCATTTTAAGCTCTTAGATATTTTACACACAAACCTCATAAGGATTTAAACCAGATTTTATTTTTAATTATATTTCCTTAAATGAATAGGCCTATTTACTCTTCAGAAATAACTTTCCAAATTTGTTTTCTTCACAATCCCATGATTTCAGTTATGATCTGTTTTCATTTGGAAGTGGCAGCAGAATTACATCAAATAAGAGGGATATGTCCAATATAAGCCTGCAGTTCAGAAAACTTGCTACAGATAGACCAGGCAATACGACGCCGTTCCAAAAGTGCACCACTCTCTAACAGAAAATTTGGGATTTTATCACAATGAGCCAAATCAGCAGCTGAAACAATTACGGCTAGCATTATAGAAGGCCACATGTATTTTTTTTTTTTTTTTTTTTAAATAGAGCAACTTCTAAAAATGTATTCCTTCACCAACCTTACAAGTTTTTGTCCTCCACTCCAAGTACTTTGAGCATCTTATTATACATTAGAAGATAAAACCACTATACTAGGTAGGACCAACCTCTCTACTACAAAAACTTGAGGTTGTTTGGTAACTGAACAATGTTAAGTACTACATCTGCATGTTCCTGTTTTGATACAAGTCTAATAAAACTGCTGCAACTGTAAGGCTAGGTACAGACATTACGTGTAAACCAGTGTAAGTGATCAGAAGCCAGTCAAAACCTGTAACAGAAGACAAGTTCAATGCACATAAACTGATTTTAAAATGGCAAACCCCAATCTAAGATAGACCTAGATTGATGTGGTATCAGACTTAAGTGATTTAGGTTAGACCAGTCTATGGAACTGCTATATCAGACCCTCTCCTGACTTGAATTAGGTTGCTGTCCACTGGCATCCCAGTCTGCTTTGCAGGTCCTTCCCCCCCGCCCCCTTGCATTGGGTGGCATATTGGAACTTTGCCTGCTCTGTCCCCAGCCCTGCCTCTGGCCAGCTGTCAACAGCAGCTGGCAGGGGGAGGGGAGGGGAGAGGGGAAGAGGGTTCCTACCCGATATGAAGGCTATTCAAAAAGTGGAAAATACATCAAGTGGCTAACATGATACATACTTATCTTCATGGTTATGTGATTATTTCTTCCCTTTGAACTGACTTTGTCTATATGACATCTTTGTAGTTTAGAAGCTCTTTAGAAAAGACTCTGCCTTCTCTGTACTCAATAAAGTGAAATTTAGGGATAAAAAATAAATATAGATGAAGCACCATTAGTTAATAGAAATGGAATCTGCATGCTTTAGCTGAACTCTTTGCTCAGGCTCCAAGAAAGGAAAGCTCTTAAGTACATGCTTAACTTTGAGTATGTCTGTGAGCAACTCTAATATGCTTGAAGTTCAGCACAAGCTTCAGCATACTGCTGGATCACAACTTAAATCTGGCCTAAAATAAAAACACAAGAAGCACATTCTCACATCTCAGCTAAGCAAAATATAGTATCAACTATCTACCATCTTCACAGGTTCAGGTGCTCTTTTAACATAATATTGGGTTTTAGTAATGGAGAATGATGAAGAAAAAAAAAGGAGGAAGAACAAATTCACATCAAACCATATCAGAAAAAGAAAGTGCCTGGAATTCAATTGCCTAGGATCAACTCCAGAGCCTTTTTAGTAGAAGTCCCTGAGTTTGAAATGGATTTCCTTTAATGGTCTGACAAGACACAAGCCTGGTGATATTCAGGTCACGTTAAAACTCTTCAAACAACATATAACATGAAATTTGCTTAACATTAGAGGAGCCAAGATCCTACTGAGAATTAGGCCACATCTGATTATGGAATAAATATTCGTGATCAACAATTTTGTATGTTTTATAACACTACTGGAAAGTACATAGGCAATGAGGGTGCATGAAGCAGGCCCTATTCAATTGGGATTCGGATTCAGCTTGAATCAGGGACGGTGATTCAATTCGTTGATTCAGATCGCTGTCCCTGATTCGATTTGGCTGAATCCGAATCTGAAGATTCAATGCTGGTTCAGAGAATCAGCGATTCGGACACAGACACAGCTTTAAATGGTTTTTCTATATACTTTGAGGTAGCAGGCATGGCTTGTGAATGCTGTGATGCTGGGGTGCATGGAGCATCACACAGGAGTGCGGGGGAGCCCTCCATGTGCTTGCAGTGAGCCTGGAAGTGGACTGGAAGTACTTCCGGTCCACTTCCGAGTCTGCCGGGGAGTGTGCCAGGGGGCTTCCCCGAGCCCACCCAGCTCAGCAATTGGCTGCAGGGGGGGACCCCGGGTGTCCCCCCCCCAACCCAGGAGACACCCGTCACTGAGCCAGGGGGGCCTCCAGCATGCTCCCTGGAGAACCCAGAAATGGACTGGAAGTGCTTCTGGTCCACTTCCATGTCTGCTGTCGAGTGTGCTGAGGACTCCCCTCCCCGTGCTTCTGTGGGACACTCCATGCACCCCAGCATCGCAGCATTCACAAGCCCCTGATACCTAGAAGTACGCAAAGAAAACAGTTAAAGTTGTGATTATGTCTGAATCTCTGAATCTTTCTGAATCGATTTGGAGGGTTCCGATTCAATTCAGAGAGATTAAAGAGTCCTCTGATCCAATCTGGATTTGGAGATTCGGCCACTGACTTGGGCCGAATCTCCATCAAATTGAATCAGGGACCAAAGCTTTGCACAGCCCTAATGGTCAAATACTTCAAGAAATAAAAACAGCACATGCAGTTAGTTTGCTCTGCAAATATGTTGTTCTTATTTCAGGGCTGAGTTACAGGAAACAGGAAATGTAGTAATTAAGGAGACTAATTTGATGTGGACAAATGAGAAGCGTAGTCATAGAAGCATGTCTATACTCCTATAAATCCTCCTATACTCTGTCATCCTGTTCCTGCAACTGAGAATCGGGCTATGTGCTGGTCATAGTCTATCAGCACACAGTATTTGTAAACGTGGTAGGGAAGGAGTAAACTAGGTCACAGACACAAAGATTTGATAGTCCTCTATCTGCTTTGCAAAGAGCTTGTAACAAAATATACAAGCAAAAATATTTATTTTAAAAAGATGCATTCCATGAATATGGCTGAATCTCTAGCCTGCTTCTTACTGTGGCAAAACCCAGAAAAACCTCCAAAATTCTCCTTTGAAGCAGGACAAAACACAAACACAGAATAAGCAAAGCTAGTGAAACTCAGGGAACCTTTAGGAGATGCAAGAATTTCCAGGAAGACGGTTCTGAAAGCAAGTCCCTGGCGCCTCACACAACCCTTAGGATAGTGTAGATCCTGCACAGGCAGCTGTCCTTGCAGTTCCCAATGAAGGACAAGTTTCTATAGTGTACAGACACTCTTAGCTTTCACATAATTCTTTGAGATGTTTTAGGGGCACAGCATTGGTCTTCCAACCTATCCCCTCCTCATATATGGAGTCCTAGACCTATGACTTATGTTGTGCAGCATCTTCTCTTTTAGATTTCATCTTTCTAGACAGTAAGCTTTTCAAGGCTATATGTTTTAATTGTCTGTGAAGGACCTTTCACATGGTTGGTGTTATAGCAATAACATCACCAGAATAATTCCATAGATCAGAGGTGGACAACCTGTGGCACGTGTTATAAGAGGCACAGGCAGCGTCTGTGTGAGGCCAGTTCCAGGCAACTAATTCAGAACCTTATATAAGGAATACATTAATTGCTTTTAAATATACATAGCAACTACCATTAGGATGCCTGGGGCATATGATCCTCATATATGCCTGACTAGACTGGGACCTAGACACTTAATCCACTGCTGAAAATGTCCCCCAAGATCTGATTCAAACAACAGTCCCCTGCATGGTCTGCAAATTTCTTGAAAGTCCTGTTCTATTTTCTATTCACAGCCAAGATGTGAGTAGTAGTATATCATTTTGGTAAAGTTCTTGCACTCTTATAGAAGAGCTTATGGCACATGCTGTTCTTGTCCGTATTTTAATTGCTCTTTTGAGAGCAGGCAGATTGTAAATCCAGTGCTAAAAGCTTTTTATTGGACCAACATTTAGCTGACCTGCTGAATCTTTCTTCGCCTTACATCAACAGGATAGGAGGCTGTAATGACATAGATAGGGTTCAGCATTTAAGATCAACTGATCAGATATAACATAACAGAACTCTTTTTCTCCAGGACAGGACTTTCTAGGGATTGGTTCGTGTAAATTTTGATGAGTTTTTAAAAGCCATCAAGTTATTTTTCTTCTTGTTGCTATTCCCTGAGTTATTCCCCATTTATTAGGTGAAATAATGTCCCATTTGTGGAACTACTGTATATCATTTGAAAAACCTAATTTATAGCTTTCACTGCATACCAGTAAATTAATGATGGAACTAAACTCTGTAAGGGCTGTTACAGCACTCAAGTTCATTAAGACTATAAATTGAGGAAATTACTATTAAAGTCAGAAAAATTCTTGCAAGTCAAACAATGTTTAGCTTTTTATTAATATTTTAAAAACAAATTGTATGATCATTAAGAACTCAACAGGTTATTTCTGTTTTAAGATCTGATTCAGTAAAGGCACTGAAAACCTAATTTCAGCAGGGAGTGAGGTCAACGGCCTATGTAGAGGTATCTTTACAGAAACTTGCCTCAACTGTGAGTCACTTTGGATTCACCTGCTGAAGTAGAGATCTTGGAAGACCTATAGTGAAGGGAATGTTTCTTTTAATTATGACGTATATTTATTGAAATTGGTGCTCAAGGAAGATGGCAAAGTGATGGTTTTAAATTATTGAAGATGTTACTGTACAAAAGCAAGTAGAGCATGGGTGCAATGTACATGGCTATCCTAATAAACCATACGTGTCGAAGATGG